AAAAGATACAGATATATATAAATAGATATATATATATATATATATATATATATATATATATATATATATATATATATATATATATATATATATAAAACGTCTTGATTCAATAAAAGAAACAAAAAACAGCAGAGAAACATTTACTACTTTACAGAATTTATTTTCAGCTTCAGTAATATGTTATAAATATGTTATAAATTGTTGGACGTACAGATGGAAAACTTTAACTCATTAAATGTCTGTTTTTGTAGTTTTCCAGTGCTAGAAAACTATAAAAACAGACAGAAACACTTAAAAATGTCTGGAAAAGTAAGAACATTTGGACATGGATAATTTATAGGAAACCTGTTATTTAAATTGAATGTATAAGAACAAGGCCAGAATAAAAAATATCTTCAAAGTTGAGATGATTGTTGTTTGTAGCTTTTAAAAAATAATACAAAAAGCTAAGATATCTAATAATAAGTGAGATAGGAATAGTTTCGAAAATGCATGTTTGCTATTTATCTGACTGATCTACCTCCCTTATGCACGCTTTTCAACAAACCACCAGGGGGCAGCAAAGTCTAATCAGGCCTCCATGAGCGTCCGTTCAGTTTTGCTCCTCATTCAAAGGTTCCTAATTGAGCTTCCAGGACCACAGACAGCTACAAAAACTTTAACACTGAGTAAAAACCAGTGAGCCTCACACGACGTTATGGAAAAACAGAAAGAAAAAAAAAATGATGGAAACAAGATATCCTTCCTATTTTATTTCGGCCATGACTTCTAAGCCCTGATTTATATGAAAGGATCAAACTGATACAGGGAAATGTGAAGTAAAAACATAAACTTTATGTTTTTACATAAAGTTTATGTAAAACATAAACTTTAAAATATGATGTTGTAAAAAACATTTCTTATGGTAATATAATTTTCAGAAGATTGGGGTCGATGTTTGGCAGAAAAATCTGCCCCATTTTAGTCTTAAGATATCTTATAAGAATCTCTGCTTATTTATTCTCTTATTCTTTCCCCAGGTGTATAAAGTACAACACATGAAGAACATCCTCATGTTCTGTTTCCACCTTCTGACCTTAACTCTTGTTCTGGTGGTTTTGGGGGAATGTGAACTTCTATTTCTCCTCAAATAGTGTGCATTATGGGAATAAAAGACTTACATTTTTACATTTAAAACTTTACAATCTAGCAAAAATACACATTAGAAACCAAGTTTTTAGTGTCACAATTGCATCATCTGAACTCTAAAAATAATTGCGTTATTAACCAATACACAGTTACTGTATTCTTAGTGTCATCACCAATTCTGGACAAAATTATTATTATTATTATTATTATTATTATTATGCAAAACAGATGTTTTCAAAAGGAGATTCTCTACACACAAAGAAACATAGAACATCTAATTAGGCGCCTCTTTCCAGTGTCGCCCTAGGTAACACTAATTAGGACTTAACCAGTTAATATTAATTAGTACTGATATCTAATAGGATTGGGTTATCTTGTTGGCCATTTATGTTTTTGTACTCAATACTTATTTCAAAAATTGTAAAGAAATTTGAGTTGATTTCTGTGTATGAAAAGATTTTATATAATTTGCCTCACTTGAAATATTTTCCCAGACAAAAAAGTTGACTAGTCCCAAAACTCATTTTATCCAGGAGATATAAAACATTCTAAATATTTAAATATTTACATGAAACCACACATGGTTTTTGTTTTGCTTTGTTTTTCCACGGCTATTTACATTTTACATAAAATCATAATTTAGTTAAAAACTAAGACTATTACAACAATAACTGTTGGACTATTTGTGCTCTGTGTTCATTTTTAAAGGTTACACACAATCTTTAATATTTCAATCGTTTCTACAAGCTAACGTCTCTGTAATCATATACTTACTGTTGGACAGTGACAAACGCTATTTTCCGTAGAAATTAAAAACCAATGGAGGGAAAGACCAGCTGTATAACGGTATCATTTCTACAGAACTTCTGACTAAATTAATCACAGACTTCCTGGACTTTCATTTCCTGGAAATGTGGTTTTACTGCATTTGATTATTATTAGGTATGTGCTATTATTAGTCAGAACAAAAAGCAGATAATGAAACTCCTGTTCACAACTTTATTTCATGTTGATGGCATTCTTGCTAAAAGTGGTTTTTGAGATAAGAATGTCTAAAGGTTAAACGGATGCAGCTGCACCAACGCTACTTAACCAACTCGGTTGAAAAGGGGATTAATCAGAAGCACTTAAGACTCTGCTGAGAGATGATATTGATAATAATGATAATGATTGATAATAATGTGAAAATTATATTTGGTAATACAACCGTCTATTTTTTAGGATCTGAAGTGTATTTTTGGTATTTCCTGCTCCAAACGAATCACAAGCTGACTGCTGAAGTTCTTGAAGGATGAAGTCGCAATGAGAAGGAAATGGAAACTTAAACATGCCATGTGTTGAAAACTGAGTCAATGAGCCAGTCTTTCCCAGAATCAAAGTTCCCCCATGTCCTCTGTAGATAATTATATCAAACAAGACAAAAAATCCTCAAATATTTCTGGTTTGGCTGCTGATCAGTTTATGAAGAAGTTCCTGTTATATTTGTGTCTTTGCATCAGGTCCTCCTCTTGTTTGAGGCACTGGGTGTGAGTGGAGGCGGCTCGATGTTCAGCTCCCGCCTGAGGTCCTCCAGGCTCTGCTCCCATCGCCTCTCGTAAAAGATGCTGAGGACGCAGCGGGCCCGCCTGCCGTTCTGCAGGGCCCAGGGGCCCAACGATGTGAAGAGTGACTGCAAACGACTAAGAGAGGAAGCCAGGAGAGTACGGTTAAAAGCCGTTACCACAACCTTTTTATTTCAAGCAAATCAACAAATCCAGATGGGCAGAGACAGGAAATGACAGTGAATGAATGAGGAAATGTTTAACGATTAACAGACAAGAGAGACGGTTTATAGTTGAACATCATGTTCCCATATCGTCGCTGTTGTAACAACAACAAACAATGGTGGCTATTCTATGAATAATGCCCTGGAGAAACCCATCTTTCTGCCACGCCCCAGTCTAAACCAATCAAAAACCAGGAAGTCATCTAAAGCACTCCTATATTTTAATGGTTATGTATTACAGGCTGTTTTCATGTGTTTAGGTCTTCCAGAATTAATTCAAGACTAATTGTCTTAGCTTTTGCTTAAAAATGGTTGATTGATCGATTACTGGTCACAAAAGCTTTGAAAGTATTTGCATAATCCTTGAGCGTCTTCATGAAATTAACATGTCTGCACAGTTCAGACATCAAACAGAAAATCTTGAAAATCAATGTAACCTCTGCAGCTTTGCCAAAGTCAAAAGCCATTTCAGCCATGCAAAATAAAACTCACTTAGAAATAGATGTAAATGTTATGTGACGCTTTGAAAAATGGCAACATATTATTTCTGACGAATATCAACTAGAGGAAAGGTGTTATCATTTATGAAATGTTTCCATTTTGTGTCTACTTTAATATTTTTAAAATAAAGAGGAGGGGAAAAATGCTTGCCTGAAAAGGATGGATACATTTTCTTCTATTTCATGGTGACATTTTTGGGAAATTATGTAACACTGATAGATACTTTATTATTTTCAGCCAGAGTTATTAAGAGCCGTTCTGAAAGGTTCAAAGGGCCGCAGGATACAGCTCTAGATGTTTAAAACGGAAACAGACTTGGTGGTTCTACAAATTAATGACAGACTGACTTTAATTCTAAATTAAAAACAAATAAAAAGTATATATATTTTATTTTTGTTTCCTTTCCAAATATGCGCTCCATTTTTTTCCAATACATGCACTGAAAATAAAACCCATTGGAGTTTGCGATTGCAACACGATGAATGTGGAAAAAGTTCAAGGATCTTCATTACTTTTAAGGGACATTAACTTGTCCTCATCAACCCAAAACTTCATCTTTTTCTGGGAACATTCAAGTGCATCAGCACAAGCAGCGCTGGTTTGAAACGAAAAATAAATTTACATACAACAATTCATATTTGCTTCAAACAGAGCGAGCTCCAATCAGACATATTGTGTGTAAGCACCTTGCATTCAGCCGAAGTGGCCCCAGCACGGCTCCCAGGGCGCACATGGGAAGCCCCGTCTGAGCGGCTTCGAACCATTTCACCGCCACCTCACCTGAAACCAGGACCAGGAGAAATGTGCAAATTACCAACAGGAAGGGGAGAGATCACCAGGCAGTCAGTCAAGGGTGAAGATTTCACAAAGTCTATTTTGGTTTTGAGTGTTTACAGAGAACTGGAACTGTTGCTCTTTTCATTTTTACGTGCAGCTTGACTCACCCAGCATGTTAGTGGGCATGCCCAGTAAGGTGTGCAGCAGGTCATGGACCTCTCTGTATCTCAGCATGATGTAAGCTAGCTCCTCGTTGTCCACAAACTTCACCTCCGCTCTGGAGTCAGGTGTCACTTTCTGTCGCCAAGTTGCAAAAAAAAAAAAAAAGAGAGAGAGAGAGACAGCTCATCCATCAGAAACAAGAGATAAGTGGCAACAGGATGAGTCAAGTGAAGTCTGGATTTGGATTTGTTGAGCATAAGCAAAGACGTACATTCTCCTCCAGAAATCTGAGATACTCTCGTCCAAACGACCCATCCGGTAGGGAAGCCATCTTTTCCAGATCGAGTGTAGACAGACGGATTCTTGGCCTTTCTCTGCAGCGTCAATTTATAGCAAAGAAAAGACTAAATCAAAATGAATCCATGCAGTGGAAGAATGCTGGTCATTTCACCCCTTCGCCAGACTTTTTCTCTGTTGTTGTGGCAAGGTTTGATCTTTTCTCTACCCTTTTTTTTAAAGTTATCTTCTTCTAAATATTTTTCTTCTACTGAACACACATCAAATTAATGGATGCGATTACAACAGGTAACAATTTAAAGCAATTTTCTAAAATCCAGTGATTATTTTCTGCAAAAAATATGTGGCTAGCTGATTAAAAGAAATAATTTTCTACCATCTACTACATTTCTACTAGTTTACGTGAGGCTGAGTGGAGTAGGAGTGATATATGGCCTCAAAACAACAAAATGCAGTGAAAGAATGCTACTTATTTGAGAATTTCTATTCAAAATGTTATTTATAGCTTATCAAAATACCTAACTACCAGAAGAAATATAATAATAACCAATGATTAAGTGCCTGATTAAGAAACGGAAGGAGGAAATGGACGGGAAATATGACCTTGAGCCAAAAATGCAAGAATATGTTTGGCAAAAGGGCGAACTGACCAAAACAATAACATTTAACCTAAACCAGGGCGACTCACGTCAGGATCGTGTAACCCTCGGGGTCATTTTTCATCCGCTCCCTTAGATTTATAAGCGCTAAATGTCCTGTTGTCTCTCCCAGCACAGCAACCATGTCTGTGAAGCCAGCACAGGGATCCAGGGCATCAGTAACACTACATGGAGTTTTTACAGCCTAATTAGACTCAACATCACAAATTTTAGACAGAATATAAAAGAATGTTTATAGGTATAATGTCTAAACCCGCAGAGCAGCTCACTGGTTGCAAATACAGCTCTGTTTTGTTCCTCTGCGCCTTTTAGGGAGTTTTTTTGTTACATTTGAGAAGCTGCCTCTGAGTCTACCAAAGCATGACGTAATCTGAGTCATTTCAGTATTGGTTTACATTGTGACCATTCAAACATGTGGCGTTTCTATCACAAGGAAACAGCAAGGTTCAGACACAGAGTAGATGCTGGAAGTCAGGATCTTTACAGAAATCTGTGGGACAAACCTGATGCTAACTTTCAGCTGACAGGTGTCTCCTCAGCTGTGAGCGTTTTTCCATTTTAAGCTACTGAAAACGAGAAGCTGCATGCCATTTCAGCAAAGCTGTTTCATTTGTGATTGAGAAAATTAGGATGTGAAATTTATCTGCCAAATACCCAGTCTCGCTGAAACAAAGAATAACTGATGTTAAAGACACTAAGCTGCGGCAATAAATCACAGTGAAAATACTGCATTACAGTATATACTATAGAAGAATACATGCAAGACCTGGAATACCTTAAAGCTTAACCTTAAGGTAATGTTTCCAACTAGAAAATTTAAATATGCCCTTTTTTAAGGTTTTATTGTTTTTGACAGTTTTGCAAACTGTGCTAAGAAAGAAGCCTGAAGCAACAACAATAAGGCTAATGTGGAGGAGAGATGAGTTTTAAAACAACTGATCAAATCACACAGAAGCAATAGTATTTTATTAATGAATTCTAAAACGCCAAAACAAGGATGGACAATAAAATATTTGTTTTCACACAGTCAGCAAAAGTATGGAAACTGCTTGAAGTTTTCTTCAGGTGGATTTGTACCGTGTCTGTAGGGGTCCTGCAGAGCCGCCACTCCTGATCCGACGGCCAGCAGTGCTTTCTGGAAGGAGTTGGTCTGGATGTGTCCAGGGTACAGCCCATTGTAGCTGTAGGTAAGCTCAGCACCACTCGTGAACAGTCGGTGGACGAGCAGAGCTGAGCCAGAGGTGGAACAGTGTTAAGATGCAGGAAGCTAAATATTTCTACTGCAACATGTCAAATGAATGATGACTTTTAACAAATGACCAGCCTGTTTGGCCTTCTTGATGCTAATTTTAGTTTTTACATGGTTTTTCTTTCCCCCACAGTGCATGGTCTATTTTACTGTAGGTCAAGATGCTAGACACTAAAATGTTCCACTTGCAGCAGTCACACTTCATTTTTGCAGGAAATGCAACATTTTTCTAGTTTATTTACCTTTTCTCTTAAAAAAATGTATCTAGACTCATGCATCTGACAGAAGTCAATAATTAGGTAATGAAATAAAGTAGTGTGAAAACTACATGACAATTTCATATTACACATTACAGCCAAGTAGAGCTTGGATGCATTTAAAATGTGTCCTTTATTTAACGCAAAGTTCACCTGAAATTCAAAATCTCATGTACAAACTTGCCAAAATGACAGCAAATCAAATTAGTGCAAAAAGAAAAAAAGAAAAAATACAACAAACATTTTCAACACATTTAAAATATCAAATGTCACTAATCTACAAGCAACAGTAAAATAAATGCAATTACATATTCAACAGTATGATCCAAATCCAAGCACTTCTGTTGCATAAAATGTATACTGTATTGACCATAGCATTTTAATATAGTAAACATTTCTATTGAGTAAATGAAAAAAAATCTATAATTATTTAACTGTGTAAATTAGAGGCATAAATAAACAATTAATTAAAACTTTAAATCACAAGTTATACCTAATTAGTTTTGTATTTATCCCATTGTTACATAGCAATTGTTTAACTTGAAATAATTAACTACGACAATGTTAAGTCTACTATTAGACATTAATTAATTCAACTCTTAAATATGTTTTTGCATCCAAACAGTTCACTGTAATTGCAATACTGCAAGTATAATTCATTATACGTTTAATGAAATGTAACCATTATATGATAAATGTAAGTTATTTGATACGTTTATCAACATTTAATTAATACCATAGCTCTCCATTGAACTACTGAACCGGATGCTAAAACTCCAGCGTCTTGTACCGTTCTGTTTAGACTGCTAGAAGTAAGCAGCTAGGCTAACACGCAGCTAAACAGGCAAGCAAAAAATAATTTAATAACCTACTCGTTGCTTAAAATGCTTTTGTAATTGCTTTTGTAGAGAGCAGCGGTGTAAATTCGTACCTTTGAACCCTTTAGATGTTAAATAACTTTGCGTTTGATTGAGCCGTATGAAGGGATTTGACAAGCGCTGCCACATTGTTATCCAAACGTATTGCGCATGCGTCGATGATGCTGCGTCATTAGGCTCCTCTTGTCGGTGTCCATTAGTCGATGCTTAAAATGAGTTGTGTATTACTAAAATTAATCAAACAGTGAGTACTATGACTTCACACTAAATAAACTCATAATAAACAAAATATAAATTTTTGAAGACGAAATTTCTTTGAAATAATGGCATGAAAATGTCCGGTGTTGGGGGATTGCTCATGCATGTTTCTCTTTGGGTAGTAACTCACCTTCATGATGACGGTGCAGTCTGGACTAAGAAGTATCACTGCATAAAGTGCATATGTACTCCATATAAATGATGCATCCACATAACTTTACTGGAGCCAGTGGTGTGTGTGTGTGTGTGTGTGTGTGTATATATATATATATAATGAATAAAAATGTCATCTACTTATTTTCTTTAATCAAATATGTGATTCTATATTAAATTTATAACATTTTGATGTATTTATTGTGCAATTACATGAGACAGTAATGTTTAATGCCAGAAGTGAGACTAATTACATTTGCTCAGCTAAATATCCTTGAGCAACATTTTACTAAACTGTTGATTTTACTTTTATTTCAGTATATTAATTTAAAGTATTGCTACTCTTATTTGAGTAAAATTTCCAATATCTCTAAACACCAATTTCTGTCAATGAAGAAGAAGCTTGTTTTAGCCAAAAAAAAGCACCAGACACAAACGTACACTTTTGTTAGACTTCTTCTTGTTTATACATTAACTCTGTTGTCTTTTTCCATTTAATAAGAAAAACTTGGTGTTTCTTCTGAATTATGTTGTATTTATTTGTGTTAATTATTTTATTTAAATTACTTAAATTTACATAAAACGTTATTTGTCTTATGATATAATTTTCAAACATGAAACCAGATAAATTGTGTACCCCTGTTATTAAATACTCATTTTATTCTTTCTTGGATTGTTGATTTCTTTACCTTTACTAGAGTTAAGTGCTACTTTTACTTGAGCATAATTTTTGGGCACTCTGATACGCAACTGCGCCCCCATCTGGTACAGCTTGTGCAGAGAATAAAAAACGCAAGCGGAAGTTGTTGTGCATTATTTAAACTACCTAGAACTACGGACGGACTGAACTAGGAGAGTTCGTTTTTTTGTCTGTTCGTGAATAGTTTCGGTTTCCGTCCAACCTAACGTCCAAGACTCCGAGGTTAGTTGTCTAAAATTGGTATACACTTGCTCTTAAACGAGTAAGTTAGCAGTTAGCAAGCTGGCGAGTAACTTATAAACGAATTGCAGCAATAATCTACTTAATTTAGCTCTAAGGTTAACTACACGAAGCGTTGTTGCTCTTCGTGGCAAAATTAAGTGCTAAAAAGCAGCACGGTTTTTTCTTTAAAAACAATGGCACACACACACACACACAACAGAAAGTAAACGAATAGAAATTATTTGCGAAAATAAAAGCGCTAGAGCTCAGAAGAGAATTATACTCTTATACTCTTGAGAAATGTCTTTATAGTTTTACGTCAACTGACGTCATTTTGGGTGTGACTAGATTGTACAAATACTACCCTCAAAGTTCAGGCTGTAAGGATTGACAGTGTTTTCGGTAAGTAGAAATCCTGTTCAGTTTCCTTATAACTGAGATCGTCACTGACGTAGAGACAATATTGAGCAATATCGTTGTAGTAGTGAGATCGGTGTTCTTAGACAGTTGAACAGATGGTACATTTCTGGGCAGCACTAACAACAAGCTTGTGTTTGTTACAATTTGGCAAGGAAGCTGAACTTATTTTTGTGTGTAGATTTGCAAACTTTCTTTTTATTTACCTTTGTTTAAAGATTATGTGTATTCTTTTGCAGAGTTACTACTCATTGCTTTTTTTTACTTAATGGTTTGTGCAGCAATTTTTGGCCAGCTGAGGTCGTTTAATTGTGTGTTTTAGAAATTAACCTTGACTTGACTATTCTTGCCAAATTTGCTGAGAAATCTAAAAGGCATGCAACAGTCATGACTGCAGATCCCTGCCCTTAAGACTGCATATCAAAGGTCATTTTCATATTGGCTCTTTGTCTGTGTCTGAAATCGAACATAAAATGCATTTTTCTGCCTCCGACTTTAAGACGGAGACAGACTATAGTTAGTGATCCAAACTTAGAATCGGGGAATCTGTAATTGCTACCTTCAGAGCTTATGTTGATACACAAAGTAACCACAGCAGTATCTGCCAAATACATCGCACCTAGTTACTGTGTTTTGTATGAGTTAAGCAAGTTTTTCCTTTTCTTTCTTTGCTGTATTTGTTTTTAAAGTTGGGCTAGTTCGGCTGAACTAGCTGAAACTCCAGTGTTGTGTCAGAGTTTCATCATGGAGAAATATCAGTCATTTCACCAGAGCAGCTCTGGGAAAACTCCACAGAATTTCACCAGTTTAGACTTCCAGTTAAGCGTAGTGCCAGGCATCAGGCCATAGATGGGTTTCTGCAGAGAGGTGATAAGAATTAACCCAGCCATTTGGATGTGTAGAAAATCTCCTCACTCAACATTATACTGTCTAATTATTGTGACTTAAAGTATGTACAGTTTTGCCACTGAAAATATCTAGCATTTTTATAAATTGTTTTTATTAATATAATTTGAAAATGCGTTCAGCCTCCTTGATTTCATCCTGGGAGAAGTGTTGTTGGATATGAAGTGATGGACAGACGTCATATGAAATATCTATTTATTTATTTACTGTATTGTCTCAAAGCTAAGAAATGTTTTTCATGCATTCCAGCTGAAACCGTCTGGAGTTTATGAAAGGTTTACTGGTGTGGTGTTTTTGCGTGTGTGGTTTCTGTCTTCTTTTTTTTTTAATGCATTTATTTCATTTCCCTCCATATTTCCTCATACAGAAGTTTTTCAGAGGATGTCCTCTCTGTGAGAAAATTGCTGATTTAATGACTAGTTTCACAGAAAACAGGATTTGGTTACGTTTAATTTTAGACTCTGTCAGCAACATGTAAACCCAGGAAGAACAAATGTAGTTTTTCCATTTATCAAAAATGGAGGGGGAGTCCTTCTAATCTAATCTAATCTAATCTAATTTCCACCAACTTTCAGTTATTCCCCTGTTTTTCTGCTGTGGGAACACAAACGCAGACATGCAGTGGCTGTGAAGTATAAGCATCAGTTATGGAAATCAAAAACATGCCCACTCTTTTACCTCAGTGGAATTTTATGAACTAAAATAAGTGAAGTTGTGTTAAGAAATTGCTTCAGACTTTGCCAAAAGTAGGCAGAAAAAATTGTGGTGGAAAATGAGTAATACCTTTGTCTTTATAGCCAATGTTAGCTTCAACACCTAATCAATCGTAGAAATCACTTTAGTTTTCAAGTGGGGAAAAAACAAAAAAATGTTGTCACGTTCTTATTGTTGGTAATCAAATGGAAGGAGATGACTAAGTTTCCAAGCATTTCCAGATAGGGAAGCCCAACAGGGTAGGGGGAAAATTCATGATTTAGTTTCTTGTAATTAGCGGATTGACTGACAATGACTGACAGCATTTCCTCTCTGTCTCTTGCAAGTTCTTTTTTTTTTTTCACGCAGTTGTTTACTTTTGGCTTTCCATGTGTAATGTACACCAAATAACCAGATGAATTTAGACATTATTTTAGTTGGTCGAGTCTTACAAAATCCATTAAAGAATGCATTTAATTGAAAAGTCTTAGTCGTTGACCAAAGACAACCTTCAACAAATATCAAGCAGGGTTAAAGACTTAAATTACAAACCTAAGAATGAACACGCTTTACTTTAGTTTTTGGTGCAACCGCAAACAGCAACGTCTTCTAACATAATACTTGTATGCTAAAATCACTTATACAAAAAATGTGCTCAAAGTAGTATTGAGAAAATGTGCTTCTTTATAAATAAAACCTGCAGCGTCGTCCTATCACGTAAATGATAGGACGACGCTATTTAATCTGGTGGATTAAATAGTGGCTCTTATTTAATCCACCAGATGGCAGTAAAGAGAAAACCAGACCACTTGCACCGTTAAACGTACACTGTGCAGACGAGAAGTGCACTTCAGAATCCAATTTGGGTTCGTGTGCTGTAAAGCGCCGATGCAAATGTGAGCGTGGGAGGAAGATCTGTACTGAATAATGAAGTTAAAAATACAACAAGTGATATTTTTGTGACTAACCAGATAAGAAGCTTAGTAGGGTTAATTCGTGTTGCATTTCTGGTGTTGGATTTCCCAAAAATCTGCAAACTGAACTTAAACGATTTTAAGTATTTTTGCAGCCTTCGTGCAGATTACTTGTACTGACAAGTAGGTGGCAGTGCAGGCGTGGTTATGAGTAAGGGTTTGCATAATTATTGCAAGTAAGAATCTGAGCGTTACAAAACCACTTTTGAAGTTTGCACAACATTACGGGCCAAAAATTTTGTTACGCGACTTCTAGGACTTTTTGCAAAGATCTCTGTTACATCAGGATTCACGTTGTGTACAGATCTTCTGGAGAAACCAGGTCAACAAGTTTTATTCAACAGTTGAAAAATCATGCTTGCATGCATAGTCTTTTTTCATTCATCCGCATAGAAAACAGATTTTTGTGGATTTCTTTCATTGAAAAAGTTAGTTTGAAGAAAAACAAATGCATAAATGGGAATAAGAAAAAAGCATGCAGTCATGTTTTCTTTCTGTTCTTAAACCTGCACAGCTTACTGTGATGCAGTAGACGAATATAATTGAATATAATTTGAAAGAGCTGCACCTGGCCACATCTGTTTGCAGTGAAACACAGAGACACATGTTTATGATAGTTTTTGCATGGTGGCTCAGTAGTAAAATGCAGTAATCTGGAATCTGCTAGCTGGTTTTCCCCTCTGTAACCATCTGTTCTACCTTGACAGACCCAATAACACAGTTAAGAGAAAACGCAAGATAAGAAAGTCCAACTGCACCAGAACCAAGACATTCGCTTTAAAACCAGAAGAAAGAGTTTCTGACAACATTAATTAATTTCATTTTTTAAAGTTGGACAACACATAAACCTTTTGACTACCATTTTGTATTGGTATCAACGCATCCCATGTCTCACGCAAACAAAATATTTCACTGGAATTTTATGTGCATACCTGTAGAAGCAGATGGCTGGTTTTCAAATTTTATACAAAATAAAGTTGAAAAAGAATGGTGAGCATTTGTATTTTAATTTCCTTCAGTTAATATTTTTGTAGGAAACTCAGTGAAACTTGGTGGTGGTGGTGTCATGATGTAGAGAAAATTTTCTTTAGCACAAACAGGGAAGCTAATCAGTTGACGATGGCTGGCCTGACTTTGGTGTTGGTCTGTAAAATCCCAATGAAACCCACTGCAGGTTGTGGTTGTAAGTTGAGAAATGTGGAAATGTTTTGACGGTTTGCATATATTTGCAAGCCAAAGTGCACATTGGGAGTGTTGACCTCTGTTTTCTGCTGCTTTCCTTCCACAGTTTGGTGCATCATCAGTTTCATGGAGAACGATGGCTCGCATCTCTTTGGACTCTCAAAACTCTTTACCAGGAATTCCTTTGAGTGTGCTGTCTGTGCCCATGGAGAATAAGTACAAATGTCAGCAGTGTCTCCAGGTCCTGAGGAAACCTGTCCAGGCTCAGTGTGGCCACCGCTTCTGTGTGCACTGCTTCAAGCTGCTCACCAGGTAGACCGAAGGTCCTTAGACCACCCACCAGTTTGTGACGTGTGACCTCCTCCTCCTCCCCCCACCCCCAACACTCTGCCGGCTTAATGCTTCCCCTTCTTAGTGGATATGCCTCAGCGCCATCCCGCATTCTTGTCTCTGCTCCAGTCTGGATTTGCTTTTTTTTTGCACCCAGCATCGTTTTCTTAATGCCGACTCATTTCTCACATGGTTGGACTAAATCTGATGAATCACGAGGATCTGGTCATGCTGACACATTTCAGCTTTGCTGACTCATTCCAAGGTGTTTCTTTTTTCTCTTTTTTTAATCTACCCATATCTTTCCTTCTCACCCATTCAACAGTTGTTTCTAAATCTTATAATATAAGATTATAATATAATAATAATATAAGTCTTATAATACTCTGCTTCGTCATGTTATGTTTAATGATCCACAGTGGCGTCATTGAACATAAAGACGAGATGAAATGTCGCTGAATATTACTCAACTTTACCACACATGGCATTGATAATTAATTAAACTATGATTTATTGGTGTAATCCTGGAAGCTTATATCTGCTAAAAACCTTGTGAGATTTTAGTTTTGCAATGCTTCTGGTGTCAAAGTGCATCAGTGTGGCAAGTTGATCACATGACTTCCCCAGGTCATGTGATCCAGGTTCCAGGTTGTCTGAATGTGGCTGATGTTTGGTTTTTGGCTTCAAAAACCAAATGCATTCATTGTTCTTCTGCTCTACGTCCCTTCTATATCACCTCTGTTGATCTACTTGAACTGTGATCCGTGTTGGTCAGGAGCTGATGGGGGAGCAGGTCTTAGCTGCTGTTTAAACAGGCAAAATCACAATCCCTTTGTTTTTTATTAGCGCTGGTCCAAAGCCTTGTGAAGCCTGCCGCCAAGAGGAGATCTATGAGGAGCCCATGTCCATCCTGAACAGTAACGAGGTAAGTCTCCAGAGAGGAGTAAGACGACAGTACGAGTGCCTTCTGCCACGTGTTATGCTGTTCCAGTCACGTATTTTAATTGATTTTATTGATAGACCAAAACACAAGTAGTGTTTTGGTCTACTTGTGTAGACCAAAATGTGAGATGGCCACAAAAGGCACACAGTTTTCAAAAAAGGTCTTAAAACTTTTGTATTCCACCCCCCTTTTTAGTTTGATACCCCTAAAATCCAGTGCAGCTAACTGCCTGCCTGAACACAGTAGCTCTGAATGCTAATAAATGCTGTACTTTCAGATTTCTGGTTGTAAAACAATTGGAAAAAGATGTTTCATTTTCCTTCTGCCTGCATTATTTTGTATTGATCATTCACACGAAGTGCATTGCAGTTTGTTTTTGTAACATGACGAAGGGGTGGTGAATACTTTTGTGTGCTACTCATTTAAGCTAAAGGTGAATGTTCGACCACACAGTCTGAAGGGAGTTTCCACAACCACACAATGAAGTGCACTGTGTGTTCTTGTCGGTATAATGACTGTTTTTATGTCCACTGAACGCTTTGTTGTCGCCCCCCGCCCCTCTTCCTGTCCGCCAGGCGTTTCCAGACAACGCAGCCGGTCGAGAAATAGCGAGTCTGCCTGCCAGGTGTTTGAACCAGGGCTGCAGCTGGACTGGATATATAAAAGAGTACGAGGTGAGGTGCTACACTGAACCGCTCTGGTCTCTCTCTGACCTCATGTTAAGCCTCATGTCATGCTAAGGGGTCAGGTTACCCCAGGTTAACCAACGGTCTATTCATGTCACTGTGACCTGAACTAGCAATCCTTGGCGCGTGCTTTCCTCAATAAGCTCGCTATGGCCTCCATCTCATGCATGCTGCTTCAGTTCAAACTGTGCAGAAACAGGAAGTGAAACTAAACATGCAGGCTGGAAAGTCCCTCATTCACAAACAACTCATTGGAAAGTACCAGAAGGCCATTTGATATAAGGGAGGAGAGATAGACGATGGAGGAGGATTAACTGACTGTAAATCTGCCCTATATAGGCAGACTATCGAGAACTAAGATTAAGATTTGATGGGAAGGGTTAGAAAAATCCCAGTAAATGATGTAAACAGTATTTTACGTTACTGATTACCAACTTGTCAGCAGCTTGTTTGTGGTGTAAATATCTCTGCCAGGATGTAGTTAGTGGGTTGGTTTACAAAGAAGATCCTAGATGGACGTCATATATATATATAAAGGGAGTTTACCAGATGCCGCGGTGACATTGAACTCTAATTGCTGACGATACAAGGGAAATGACCTGCTAAGTTTTAAGATGCTGTGTTGGGAGGATGTATAGTCGGTCCCAACATTTGCATGCTGTGCAAAATAAAATGTGAGCGTGTGGTTGAGACGCCCTCTCAGAAGAAGCATAGGCAGATCGAAATATGCTGTTGGTTGTTGGGAATGATTGCTAGTTGCAACACCCAAATATGTGTCAATAACAGCCGCTTAGTCACCGTCGGCTCTCCCAGCTGCTTTCTACACCCGGCCGAGAAGGCAGTGCCGCTTTGGAAAAAGATGCTAATTGTGGCTAACCCGTTCTGTGAGCGCCGAAGTACGGGCAGATTTCTCACCAGACACCAGTTCAAGATGACTCATTTTCACTTTGGTTTTTGGATTTATGGGTTGTGAGTTTTAAAATGACTGAGATCGAAAAACATGCAACATACCTGACTGTTTCGCTGAGCAGCTCACGCGTGGCTGTCCCCATTCATTAGGAGAAAGTACTTCCTGATGAAGCACTTCCTCCAAACAAGCTCTGCCCCTTCCTTTGTCGCATGTTTTAAGTGTAGTAATGCCGCCAAATGCCTCACAGATTCGAATTATTTTTTAAAACAAAACGAACTAATTTGTTTCTGTGTTTCCATTTCCCTTTTTATATTTCCTCACTTCTCATGTTTGTATTTACATAATCCAGTTACTTCCTGACTTCTTTATAACTTTTGTTAAAAGTGAGTTTTTTGAAAAGGCCTTTATATAGTTTCTTGATGCACAAGAAAGGATTAGCATTTCTTTTTTTTTCATATAGAAGTCACTCTTTTCTTTTTCCTGTTCTTCTTTTGAATTCTCAACAAAGGTAAAACGTCTGCTTAAAAGAAGCAACAGAAAAACAGGTTTTTAATCTTGTTTGAAATACCAACACACCCTGTACCACACCTTCCAAGTTAAGAGCATAATTTGTTTCAGTGCATTTTCAGTGACTTATAAAAGATAAAAGTCTTACTTTTTTTTTTTTTTTTTAATCTTATGAGGTTTAGTTGCCGTAAATTGGACAGACACGCCACAATACTCGTCTGGCAGTCGTGAACTGAAAGATAGTGAAACAAATGGCAGGCATATTTACCTTGCATGAGAACTGCTTATAACATCTAATCGTCATTTTCTACGTCGTCAGGCGCAACATGAAGGCCGCTGTGAATACGAACGGGTGCAGTGCGAGGCCTGCCAGGCCTCCATCCTCCTCAAGGACAAGGACAGACACAACGAGAGGGAATGCGAGGCGAGAACGCTCAACTGCAAATACTGCAAAGTTACATTCAACTTTAAAGACATTAAGGTGAGAAATATGTGGAGTTCTGAGCATTAAAACAGTTTTCTGGTATTGTGTTTGTAAAAAAAAAAAAAAAACGTGAGCATGGATGATGACGTTCTGATTTATGAAAACAATTTCAGGCCCACGATGAGATCTGTCTCAAGTTTCCCTTACAATGTAAAGACTGCGGCAAGAAGAAGATCCCCAGAGAAAAGGTTAGAGCTGTTCTGCTTAGACGTTTTTTTATTTTTATGTTCAAGTTTTTTTGTTTTTCTGGAAGGAGATTAGAAATTAGAAATAAACCACTCAGCCCATATCATGAGTGTATGCAAATGTCTGAAAGGAATATATCTAAGCATATGATTTTAATAGAAATGAACATGCACAGCACTATTTACCAATGTCTGCAAATTGAAAATTGTCATTTTAGCAGAATTAAGAGATACTTGGGTTTCTGAATAGTGAAACTTATTCATTTCAAGCTGATAATTCCCCCTTTTGACCTGTTAGTTTCCTTCTGACTATCATGTAGTTTGCTTTTACTTTTATTCCTGAGCTGACTCCATGCTAACTCTTCATTTTCCCTTTCGCCTGCTCTCTCTGCAGTTCAGTGACCACATCAAATCCTGTGTCAAGTCCAAGAGCGCCTGTCCATTCAGCGAAGTGGGCTGTAAAACTGTGGTATGTGCAATAAACTACTCCGTTATGTTAAACTTTAACATCAAATGCTGTCGTAGCTTAATGCAACTGAAGAAAAGGCTTGGAAGCTTAATAAAGTATTAGAAGAAAATGCAAATAAACAAATATTTCAATTCCAAATGCTTGATCATTTGTAGCAAACAAAGCATCTACAGCTGAAAAATACGTCTAACATCAGCATGTGAAAAATGTATTATAATTGCAAAATGTATTTATTGTTAGTACAGTTTTGGCTTAATTAATGCTCTGAGGGTTTTGTTCTTTCAGTAAATGTCAGGTTTTTTCCAGTCTGTCTACTCCAGTTAGCAATTATTCAATTACCAATTAAGTTGACAGTTATTTCAGTAATCGATTAATCTGATTAATAAGCAGACACAGCAGCTGTCTGCTGTCAGCGACAATTATATTTTCTCACATCCAAACACGACTGAGTTCACATAAAACACTCCAATGAATGTTTGTAGTAGTTCTTCCTGTTTACATGCACTTCACAGCAGATTAGTTGGAAGTGTGTGTGCAGTTCAGAAGAAGTTTTTTGGCCGAAGTTCAACCACATTTATGTAATACCTCAGAGAGTCTGGAGACGCTTCGCATACCTGCTGTCAAAGTCTGGAATGTTTTTCATCAAAACCCATGAGAACAATTTGGGGGGTTTTTACATCTCTGTTCATTAAATCATTTAAAACTGTCACTTACGAGCGTGACGTGGCGCTGGCTCATGGCGAAGGCATGGAGGGTGAAGCGACCATCACCTGATGGCCTTTGCCTCATGAAACATGATTTGCTGACTTTGTAGAAATCAATTAAGTTTGTTGTTCTTCTTGACAGAGTTTTAAAAGCATTTTCTGTGTGCTGAAACAAATCATAATCGTCTTTCTTCTTCTTCCTTAGATAGAGAACGGGAAGCTGAGCGACCATGAACACAGCAGCACCATGGAGCATCTGCGCCTGCTGCTGCCGATGGTGCTGTCGATGACCCATCCGCGAAGCGAGGCCCTCGGATCCGGGGAGCTGCAGGAGGACTCGGGTCTGGGTCTGTACAGAGCTCCTGAGGAGGGAGACGGCGCTGCAGCCGCCGCACAGCCTGTAGACCTGGAGAAAAAAGTGAGCCTCTCTTCCAAGCTTTATGGGTTCTTCTAATAGACGCAAATGAAGGCAGACGGTTACATTTACCAAAGAAAAAAAACGCATTAAATCAAGTTACACACCTCCTATTTTAGGGAAGTTGTAGAAATAATTGAAGAAATGTTTCGTTAAATGACAGATTTATTGTGACTTTCTTCAATCTGAAAAGTTTACATTCATACCTTTTATTTGGTGGAATTGCCCTTTAGATCACAGGTATCCTTTCATAAGCTGTAGCTAAAATCAGTTTTATCACATTCACTCTAAAATATGGACTTGTTCTTAAGACTTTTTGAAACTAATTTGGTTCTTTGCTGAGGATCACAGTCTTGCAAACTTCTCATTTTCTCAGAATGTGACGATAAAAAAAATATTTTTATAATGGTAATCCTCTTTGACTTAGAAGAAGCTAAGTTTGATTTAAAGTCAGTCATTAATATAAATATCTGTTTTCAACTGTATTTACAGGGATTATATAATGACCGTTGCTGTTTTCCCGACAGGTAATTGCTTTAGAAAACATTGTGTGTGTCCTGAACCGGGAAGTGGAGCGCAGTTCGCTCACCCTGGAGGCTTTCGCCCACCAGCATCGACTCGACCAGGAGAAAATCGAAAACCTGTCGAACAGAGTGCGGCAGCTCGAGCGAACGGTGACCATGAGAGACCTGCAGCTGTCGGAGACGGAGCAGCTGGTGCGCGAGCTCCAGAACTGCACCTACGACGGGATATTTGTCTGGAAAATCACCGACTTCTCCCGGCGCAGGCAGGAGGCCGTGGCCGGTCGAACGCCTGCCATGTTCTCACCCGGTAAGACGAGAGGCGGGATCGCTGGGATTTGGTTCTGACCTCATAGAAAGATTTTTGTGATTGTGGGGGAAAAAAAAAAAAAAAAAAAAAGAGCACGTGGTTGGTGTGTTATTTTTATTGTCTTGCAAGACTGGGGAGATTCCACATCTCTGTGATAATGTTTATTTTCAGGGAGGGAACCAAACTGAGTCTGATGACACTTCAGGATTTTGACTTTTGTTCTAATTCCTTATTTTCTCTCTCTCTCTCGCTCTCTTTGCAGCATTTTACTCCAGCAAATACGGCTACAAAATGTGTCTCAGGCTTTATTTGAACGGCGACGGGACCGGTCGGGGGACGCACCTCTCCCTGTTCTTTGTGGTCATGAAGGGAAAGTGCGACGCTCTGCTAAAGTGGCCCTTCAGCCAAAAGGTACCGTAGATTAAGAATAATTTTCCCCCATCGGTGTTGATTGACCTCCTTGTGAAAACAGAAGCTGATTTCCTCCTCTTCCTTCCTTTCCTCCACCCAGGTGACTCTTATGCTCCTGGATCAGAACAACAGGGAGCACATCATCGACGCTTTCCGACCAGACATCTCCTCCACCTCCTTCCAGCGGCCGATCAGCGAGATGAACATCGCCAGCGGCTGCCCGCTTTTCTGTCCGCTGGCTAAGCTGGCCGGCAAGAGCCCATATCTGAGAGATGATACGATATTTATCAAAGCAATCGTAGACCTCACAGGCTTGTGATGTGCACTGTGGAAGATGCACTGAAATATTCCTAAGAAAATATTAGCCTCTCTTGCTCCATATATATTTATATACAAATATTTATACACACTAATATATGAATAATAATGGATAATAAACGATTATAATAAACTATAGATATAAATAAGTATTGTATTATTATAATACAGGTCAGACGATATGCAACTGACTGTATCATATCATAAAATATCTTTTATATGTTTTATTATAAAATTATAGTCATAATAGCGCTTTTATTGCAAATTAATGCATAAGCTTTCAAACGATTTGTGAGAAAAGTTGAACTTTTCTCTAGAATAAAAATTGTCCAAATTATAAAACTTAACATTACTTTTAACCTGCTTAGTAGTAATAGTATAGCAGCTCAAAACATAACAGGGGGCTTCGCACATTCACGTTAAGAAAAATGCCTAATGTACGATTTTTGGTGTAAGTTGTTGCTGGATGTTTGTGATGGTGCAGTTAGCATGCATGGGTGGGTTTCTCTACCCTGTCGGGGGAAAAATGAGTTTAACGAATGGTGGCTTGAAATCTTTTGATTTATTGTAATTATTTATGTATAGTTTGTTAACCACGTTTTTTGATTTAGTTTTAATTCAATAACAAAAAATAAAAACAACCTGGATGGTAAACAGCCTCGAAGTGAAAACGGTAAAATATCTTTCGATAACATATTTTGTTATTACGATGTAGTATAACAACTAAAAAGTATAACATTATACAAAAAAAAGTTAAATATCTACTTAAAGAAACCATAAAACTTGGATTATATAGAAATATCTACTTAAAGAAACCATAAAACTTGGATTATATAGACATTGGCGCTTCATTGAGGAGTCGTAGCTTTCATATAGAAATGATTCCTGTGGTTTAAAGGGGTATTTTAATGAAAAATACTATCAGAACACCTCAGGATGTAAGTTGAGTTGTGCAACTTCATTTGTCAAAATGTTTTTTGTTTGTTTTAAAAAAAAATAGCCTTTTAGACTGAAATGTTTAAACCACTGCAGGAGATTTACCAGCAGCTGTTAAACTGTGACTTATAGTTCCTCTAATCTTTTTACTTTGTTCATTGAATTCAACCTATGGAAATGTAATGTACGCCGGTCAACCTACGGCGATTTATACACTTAAAAAATGTTGGTAATATTTATTTAGTTTGGTTTCAGTAAATCTTTGACTCATACATTTATTGTATGTATGAGTCAAATATTGTATGTGGCAAATATTTCAACAAATGTGAAATAAACGTGTATTAAAATCAATATTACTACTCTATTAAAAAAACCTAATCACCAAGACAACATAACCTAGTCGATATAATCAAATACTGTATCCAGGTTACTTGCTGTAATCAATATGTTAAATAGTTTCTCACTTCAGTGTTACACTTGTGGAGAGAGCTTTAGTGATTATTACTGTTTTAAATATCTAACACCACTAAACACTTAAATCTGTTTAATATAGCAGTATATAATAGCTAGCCTAACTAAACACATTGAGCCATTTTAGTTTCTATAACTTTCTGCATTGATAGCAGAGTTTGCTTCAATAAAGACTTTAAACCATTATGTTCTCATACTGACTGAATTACTTTTATATGTAAATATCTTCCCTTACTTGTAGTTTAGTTTTCATTTCACAATGATGCTTTTGTTGTAAATTAATGAAGTCATACCGAGCTTGACATCACGCCAACCGCGATATACGGTTAGCATCACGCTAACCACGCAGAGTCAGAATGAGAGTCTGGATTCAGCAAGCAGAAGGTGATATTCATCCTGAGAGCGGCTTCTGTTACAGTTTTTGTTTGAGTGGTATAGGCTTTTTACTTGTCACGCCACTCCTGTAGCTCCGTCACACGGCTCAGTCAAACGGTGTTTTTGTGTTTACAGTAAACAGAGTGTAACCCCAAATGTTGTGTCAGATGTGGAACGTGATGTACCGTTCTGTTGCTTGCAGCTGCAGAAACGGATGTTACGAAAGTCCTGCCTACGTTTCCCCACAATTGCTGCAACTTAACTTCGAGGTGTTTATTTAAAATTTAAATAAAAAAAAAAGTGTTGCAAAACTGTATGGATTAATGCATTTAGACCATCTAAAAACTAACAAATATTTGACAATTTGGAGGCTTTCAGCCCTTTTAATACCGGTTTAAATATTAGCATCACGTAATCAAAGTGGCATTTAAATATTCAACACCCTACTATTTAATATTTGATCTGAATATTAAATCAAATGCTATACAAAAAAGTGAATCAAAGTCAATATTTTGCCTCATCTTTCACATATCTAAGAAAGAAAAAAAAAAAGCAAGTCCAGCAATAATCTTAAACTGCCATTTAAATTGTTAAAATCCTTGAAATTGTTTGAGATTTACGCAGAAAAAACCCAACCTGAACTCTGGAGGGTAAAATTAAATGTCAAAATAGACCTGTTTCAAAAAAAAAAAAAATGTGTCATGTGCACGAACACATCAAGAGGAAAACGGTTAATCAAATAGACAAAGACATCCGTAATGTTCCCTGAAAGTTGGGCTCCAAATTGAATTCCCCCACCACCCAGATTTTAGTCAGACGGGACTTTTATTAACTTCATCTGTAGATCTACTGAGAACACTTGGTCAAAAATCTGCTTTGAACTTCCAGAAAATGATCATCTGTGTTTTGGATTTTGATTCACTAAAAAAAAAAAAAGATTCAGCTAGCGCTTCTTCTTGTTTTCAGTGTTGCTCTGTAAGATATTTGTTGAACTTTTTAAAACTGAAAGCCCCGTTGAGGTGCTGGTGTTTGAAGCGAAGATGAACCGATGCAGGTGTGAAAAGGTGAACTCTGTTCGCACGTCGTCTGTGGTAAAGGTTGCTTCTGTTTGTGTGGGTTTGTGAGAGGAGGTGATATCTAAAATATTCATTTTTTTAATTATATGAGGTACTAAAGTTACGTACACATTATGAAGATGATTACCATAACGTTGGGTGCATTTTAACTTTTTTTTTAAACAGAATCATCTGCACATGTTTTGAATTCATTTTCAAAATAAAAGTAAAGAGCTACCTCAGAATATGTCGATTTATCAAATCAACTTCTGCTCAAACAGAAAATAATCTCTATTGAAAATGTATGGATGACCAAAAACCATATTCATTTAAATGAGCACTGGCATTTCAAATAAAAATGAAGTATCCATAAGTTATACCAGCAGCTGGATGATGTCTCATAATTTCTCGAAATGTTAAGTTTTTAAAACTCCAAAATTAGATTCAAATTAATGGCACTGCTATTTGGTGTTCCTATAACAACAACGTCCCTAAAACGTAAAGTTTGATCTCAACCGCTCTCTGACCGTCGCATTTGTCTGATTTTAGGTACAACACACTAATTATCTCCAGATGACTTAAATCCAACACCTCAGGGGGAACGTGCAATGACACGGTATGAACATATTTCTCTAATGTGTATCTGCATTACTCATACATGTAGTATGAGTATATGTGGTTGTAAATGCAGATACCTCCTTGGTCTATGATGGCTATCTGCTGCAGGAAATGCGTCATTGAAGAGTTTGCAGAGAAAAAAACATTCCTGCTCAATGTAAAGCATTTAATGCAATGTAAAGTGTTCGAAGAACATGTTAAAACTATCAGATTTTCTGTCATTTCTGCAGGATGATACAAGGAAAATCAAAATCAGCATCTCAATAGATGCACCGTTAGTACTTATTTTCTTTCTTTTTTTTATATATATTTCTGACAAATCGTATAAGACAGGGGTGTCAAACTCCAGTCCTCAAGGGCCGCTGTCCTGCAGTGTTTAGATGTGCCACAGGTAAAAAACAGTGGAATGAAATGGCTTAATTACCTCCTCCGTGTGTAGAGTGGTTCTCCTGAGCCTTGCTAATGACCTAATTATTCTTTTCAGGTGTGGTGCAGCAGAGGCACATCTAAAAGTTGCAGGACAGCGGCCCTTGAGGACTGGAGTTTGACACCCCTGGTATAAGATCACCATCCAATTTTAGTAGAAGATCAAGATTCTACTTCTACCCTTCAAATATACCTGCAGTATTTAGCTTGGAACAGATACAGTTTGAGCAGAATGAGAGAATATTGTTCAACTTGAGCAATACAGAAATTGTACAGCAAAAAGAAGCACGAAGGTGCAACTATCATGATTTGGCATAATTGGAGACATAAAACCTTCTCCCTGATGATTATAGCTGATTTGTGGACGATCCTTCAATCTAGATTTGTCTGTGGAAATTGTGGAAAATGGGGGGGAAAATGTAATGTGATATAATGCAGGAGATGCTCTGCGCATGTACTGACAATATGGGGTAAATTTTATTTCTGCATGCTGTTGTTCAGGTATAATGTGATCATTTGTAATGCCAAATTGAAGAGACTCTTTCTAAATACGTCAAAGCAAATTATTCTCCCTACAATGCCTGGCAAAAGGATTCATAACTCAACTTTTTCACATTTTTCAATCCGATTGATCTTGAGCTATTTTGCAGAGAAGAATGAGGAGAAACAAGTTTCTACATGTGCAAATCGGGGAGCGACACCGAATGACTTGGAGGAACAAAAACAAAATAATCAACTTCAGTTTTCTGAGTATATACAGAAATAAAACTGGTATACTTTCCTGGAAGATTTTAGTCACAGTCCCAAAACTATGCGTTATAAGTGAAAGACTGCTATTTAGAATCGTCTTTAGTTCAAAGTCACAAGATCAAAGGTGGGAAAAACCCCTTGGGATCAATCTGTTAGTAGATTAAAGGTGTCAAGGAGAAAAAGAAGAAAACTCACATCTACTTCTCTATCCACAACCTTTAATTGAGAGCTGCACAACAGTTTAAACATCAAGCTGACAGGTCTTCGGGTTTATTCTTTGTGGGACATGCGTTTTATCTGAAGGGTGCATGGAAACAACAGCCGACAGCATGAAACATAAATACGGAGACGAAGGAGGCAAACGGAACATTGAGAAAGAGTTTCCAACTTACTACACACGTTTCAACACATTCAAAAGAAGAAAAAAAACAAAACAGATCTTGTCAAGAGATTTCTCAAAAACACACACACCACTAAGAGTAACAGGGGCTTTATGATCAGTCATTTCCTCTTTCATCAGGGAGCCCACATGGAAACGTCAGTGTCTACCTGGTGAAAGTATCTCAAGCTTCTGCAGGTGGAGCTGAAAATGAAGAAGAGTCACTTTCAACCGGTTGATTTTTGCTATTTCAGAGGCACCGAGCGTTGAGTTACAGCAGTACCGTGAAGTTTTATTCTTCACCAACATGATTTTAGCAACAATCTAACGTCAGTTTTAGCCACGAGAAACATCACATATAGATTAAAAAAAAGAAAAAAAGAAAAGGTGACTTCAATTCATTCAATTTCTTGAATCATTTGCTTTATTTTTATTGATTGCTTCCGTTAAAGCTTAGTGCAACATTTTTGCCACGTCGATGTTCTCGTTTCACCGTAATTGAGCGAATTTACATGTTAAAAAGTTGACTTTCACAATCAAATCTCTCTTTACCGATAATCCCAAACAAGTAAATGTTTAATAAATAAGTAAATTAAGAGCCCAGCCAGGAACATTAAGCCTGTGGACAAACTGTGTGTCGTAAAATAGATAGAAGTGAACTAAAAATCATCAGAGATGGCTCTGAACAATTCAAATATCCAGTGAGGCCCTCTCTGGTGGGAAGTGATGGCTTTAAATGGGACATTTTTGTTTACAAGCGACGACAGAAAAACAACAACAGAAAAAGAAAAAAACAATTTGTCATGGGTAAGAACAAAGCAAAAAAAAAAAAGAAAAATGTCTAAAAAGGTGAAACTTTGTGCTCATAAGAAATGAATAAACGTTTCCACACTACATAGCTCCAATAACAGTTAGCTACACACATATAACACTCTTTTGTTTACAGTCATGCTCTGGGCCAACTTTTATATTAAACTGCTCAATAACTCTACATTTATTACAATAACAATATATTTTTTTTTCTTTTTTAAACAACGGGATGTGAGACCAATAAAACTAAGGAAGACTACATTAAATATAGCTTTTAAACTGTGGTTTCATTCAACAAAGATGTGTTTCATAAAGGGCACCAATTAAAGATTGTTTTAGGAATAATAATAAAAAATAATAATAAATTGTCAGTCACTGCACTTGACCCTGAATGAGAACAACCATGATTAGGAAAGGAGCCACCTCTGCGTCTCTGTTAGTCCGTTCGGGTCGGGTGCGTCGGTACAGATAAAAACAACAACAACAAAAAAACAAGCATGATAGCGTCTCAGAGTTCTGTCTCACTTCATTCATCTGGTATCAACGGGAAGATCCTCAGTAGCAGCACTGGATGTCATTCCTCCCTTCTGTCGGTGCAACGTCGCCCCCTTGTGTCTGCATCCCCACAATTCCCTCTGTGTTCTGAGTGCTTTAGGTTGAGAACACACGCTGCTCACACACACACACACACACGCGCGGAGTGTTTGAACCGTCTCACCTCCGTCTTCTTCCCTTCCCCCGCCCCCGCTCTACTTCCCCTCCGAAGGTTTCTTCCAGCCCTCGCTCACGGCTTTCCCGTTCACGCTGCCCGAAAACGTGGAGTTCTTGTGGCGCAGCAGCCAGGACGGCAGCAGGCTGCGGGGCCTCAGCTGCCGGGGCGACGCCTGAGAGAGGCGCACCATGCGCGGCGAGCGCCACACCTTGATGGTGGAGTCGTCGCTGGCGGACAGCAGCAGCTCCTGGTCGGCGGGGCTGAACGCCACCGAGTTCACCACGTCGTCATGCGCCAGCCGCGCGAGGCAGATGTTGTAGTGGCGGTCCCAGATGTAGCCGTGCTTGTCCTCGGCTCCGCTGCCGGAGGGAGTTTGTGGAGGAAAAAAAAAAAAAGTCAGGAGAGAAACAGCTACAGCCAAAACGGGACGAGACTGAGCTTCGGAAAGGCATCCGCTGTCCCGTTTCAACCAGAATCGTCGAGGTGTTTTAGTATTACGTTCACACACAAAGAGGCTGCAATGCACGTCACCATATTCCAGATTATTAATTGTATATTCCTTTAAACGTCATAGCTTTATCTTTTCACATCACAATCAACCAAATTTAGGGCCGAAACGATTAATCGTGATGAATCGATAACTGAAATAATTGTCTAATAATCCAGCAATCGATTCATTGTTAACTGGAACATACAGACTCATAAAAAGACCAGCTTAATCAGAGCAGCGATCAACTAAAAATGCAGACGTTTTGCGTACAAGATAAAAATAAAAACATTTATAAATATGCTCGACACAAAACTCCTCAAGTAGTTTAGTTTTAGCTTCAATTTTTATAAAACATTTCATCCAAAGCATGATCAGATTAGTCCCACAATGTACCGACGTTACGTCAGGCGGAGAGGGCCGAGCTTTTCACATGTTGATGTTAAAAGTTTATTTTTTTAAGAATGCTGCATTTTTATTTTCTTATTTAAGAAAATAACTGAATTATGCGTTTACTTCCATGTTTCAATGCATTTCTGATACTGGATGAAAATAGCTCAAATGAAACATCTGCGGAATGTGCTGACAATTTTATCCGATTAATCGATTAATCTTCAGAATAATCGATAATTAACATCACTGTTGGCTGCAGCCCTCCTCCGCAGCGCGACTAAATGTGTCTGCATCCTACCTGGCAACGAAGTCCCTGCTGACGTCCAGGAAGATGAAGAAGCACTCGTCGTTGGGCGTGAAGGCCCGGTGGGCCCGGAGGCTTCTCCTCTCCTCCCTCAAGCTCTTCAGGTCGATGACGTGCATGTCTATCTCCTCGGCGATGGGAGGCGGGGACATGGGATCTGAGATCACGCATCCCTTCGGCCAAGCTCGGCTATTTACGTACAGGTACCTGACCGACGACAGCAGGAGAGCCGGAGTCAGAATCACTAAGTGGAGAGCAGCTGACACCGGCGTCCGCTGCGTTTCCGACTCATTTCTGGCCGCGACGCCACACGTTGTGTTGTCAAAAGAAAATTGCAGAGTTTTCCGGACTTAACTTCATGTAGTTTCAAAACCATTTAATTTATACAAAATACTAATGGTCAACATGAATTTATGGAAAGAAAAAAAAAATGAATCAAATCTATACATAAAAAGACATTTCCCGTAATTATTTAGTTTTTCTAGACGTATCAAGAACGTGAAAACTACAGATAGAATCCATTTGTGGAGAACCAAAACACTGGATTAAAAAAAAAGGACTCCAGATTTCCAGTGTGTGCCGTTGACTACTTTACCTGTGGTCAGGAGAAAGGCCCATTCCAATGATGTGGCCGTGAATGTCAATGACGTGGTCCAGTGAATCAAAGAACTCCTCGGAGCTCCTCTCCTCTCCGAGCACGGGGCCGGAGGTGGTCATCTGGTCGGGCTTGATGCGCTTAATGCCTGAGAGGAAACCAAACGACGGCATGAGGAGACCGAAGCTTCGGTTTGGTCTTAGCACATTTTGAATAGCCCTACCTATCTGGTGGGGGGAGTAGGTAAGGCTGCCGGTGGTGAAGAGTAAGTACGTTTTATCCTCGCCCTCTCCGGGCTCGGAGGGGTCGATGAGGCTGGGGTCGGGCGCCTTGGTGTAGGCTCTACCCATCATCTGAGCAACCTGGGTCTCAATCTGCAGCTCCCTGGCCCCCACGTGTTTACGGCTCTGGATGGGAAGAAAGAAAACGTCAGAAAAGACAACAAGAGTTGTTTTTTTTGTTTTTTTTAAATCCCTACTTAATCTCCATCGTACATGAATGACGTGGTCCAGGCCGGATATCGTGGGCTGGGGGGTCCGTGCGGACGAGAAGCCGTGACTCCGTCCGTCCGTGCCGCATTGCTCCTCGCTCTCCGCCTCCTCCTCCTCCTCGCTGTCCGAGGCCCCCAGGTCGAAAAGAAGAGGGTGATGCTGATTGTCCTGCTCCGCTTTCTGCCGCCTCGCCTGAGACTGAGCCTCGTAGTCCAGCAGCAGGTCCGGGTTGTCGTGGCGGCGGCAGTGCGCCACCATCACCGTCCGGATGGTGCTGGCGTTGATGTTCTGGATCTTGAAAAGACGCTTCACGACGTTCACGTTCTCGGACTCAATATCCTGGGCGACATAAAGAAACAAACAGACGAGGATGGCATAAGAAACTGCTGGTTTTTTTTGTTTGTTTGTTTTTTTTCTCCACCAGTTCAGGCAAATCGACCTGGAAAGCTTTGTTGAGCCAGAGCACCGAGCAGGACGTCATGTTGCCGATCCAGTGCAGGTTCCCCGAGATCAGGTGCGTCTCGTTCAGCCAGCAGCCAAACACGTCGTACGGTTTGTTCCTGACCCGCGACAGCAGCGTGTAATTGTCTGGAACGAAACATTAGAAGAGCCAACGGTGAGGTTCTTAAACCTTAAACCTCAATGGATTCCACTGGAATGTTACGTTAACAGACCGAAACAACGCAGTGTAGCAGGAGGTAAAAAAAAAAAAAAAGAAAAAAGAAAATTATACATGACTTCAATGTTTGATTTACAAATAACAACCTGATAAGTTTTATGTTTTTTTTTTTTTCAGACAAGTTTTTATGCAACACTACCTTTCCTGTTTTAAATTCTTGTGACAAATTCTCAGTTTGAGTCCTCTCATTACTTTGACTAGGCCATTCTACCCCGTGAATACACCTTGATCTAAACCGTCCCATTGCCGCTCTTTGCTTCAAAAGGTGACGTTGCATGAATGAAATTTGTTTTCTCTTTAACTCCGACCAGTTTCCACACAGCATGATGCCGCCGCCGCCATGTTTCACCAGGGTGATCGGCAGAGTTGGTTTTCTATCACACAATGTGTTTTTGTATGATGGCCAAAGCATCTAGCACTCTTCCATAATGGCAATATTTGTGGAGTGAATGAATGACAGTCGTCCTTGTTGACAGAATCTCAGAGTAAAACGGATAAATGGAAATGCTACAAAAAGAGGAAAGTGAGGTGTAATTTTCCTCTTTTTTTGCCTAACAATTATGCAATACTTTGTATCGGTTCATCTAAAAAGATAGCAAAAAAAAAAAAATACATTGAGGTTTGTAGCTACAACATGGCAAAAACAAGAAAAAGCCTCATGGATACGTCTGCAAGCCACCGTACTTCTTGATCTTGAGGCTAAAGTCAAGGCTCACTATGTTAACGCACTATGTCTAAACACTTCGGCGCGGTTAGAAAACTCCTGCGATGAATTCATTTTAAACCCAAAATCAATCGCCACTTGGCAGCTGGAAGCCGTGCGGGTGTTTTTGCCCATGTTCCTACCCAGACTAATGACGGCAATTTCCCCAGAAGACGAGTGGTGTGGTCCCAGGTAGACGCCGGATACGAGCAGCAGGGTATCGTCTGGGTTAAACTGGGAGAACTGGGTGTAGCCCCAGTTGAACTGACGCATGCTGGAGCTGTGCACCAGCGAGATGTTTCCATCCTGCCGCTCCGTGTCCCACAGCTGAAAGAGAGGTTTAGAAGAAAGAGCCAATTGGACAAGGGGAGAGACAACATTTGGTCTGAAGCATCATGAAAATGATCTGAAAACTGTTCCACAATTTAAAAAAAAAAAAGGGGGGCTTAGTGAGCGTTATTAAATTTTATTAAAAGTCGGGTAGGTTGTTCTCAGGATGTTCTGATGATTTTGCCATATTTCAGGTCAAAGTGAAGATTCAAGGCTCTTAAAACAAACAAGAGATGCAAAAAAAAAACAAAAAGCCTAGTACCTTCACTGTGCAGTCCTTAGAGCAGGAAGAGAAGCGATGGCCCCTGTGAGAGAAAGCCAAGTGAAGCACCTGGTCACTGTGCTCCCTCAGCGTCTGGACTTCCACACAAGGGATGCAGTCATACAGACGCTTGAACTCCCTGTACCACGACACGGCCGCTGCACACAGGCCCGAAACGGACAATCATTTTTTTATTATTATTATTATTATTATTATTTTTTTTTTAAAAAGCACGCATCTTCAAAACCAATACGGACAAAACTACAACAATCACTCTATCGAGACATACACGGGTGTCGAGGAACGGAGCGCGGTATCCGGTAGTAACTGTAGAACAGCTCCCTCCACAGGAACTCATCTCTGGAGACCGCCTGCCACTGTCTGCAGGTCAGGCCGGCTCTCAGCACGGCATCGTGGGGCAGGTGCAGGAAGATCTCCAAAACCAAGCTGTCCGGCAGAACTGGACCCCAATCCATCCTAACATCCTGGAACACACGCAGCGCTGTGAACAAGAGCTGTCCTCTTGCAGATTTCTTCAGTTTTTTTTGTTTTTTTTTTGTCACTTAAAGGTTTCAGATCAAACTAATTTTAAAATCACAACCACAAGGTTTGTAGAATCGATAAAGCACCTATACAGAACCTGACAACAACAAATAGAAAGCTACACATTCTACCTCAACCTAAAGAAATTCATGAAAAGATACAAAACGATGTTATTGTCTTTTTTCTGGAAAGAGAAAAAAACGTTTTTTAATCCAGCACAGATTTCTTCGTATTCTTAATGTAGTAATTTCAACATTTTCTCTACTCTTGTAGGTATTTCTATGTTTGTTGCAGTAGTGGAGCTGAGGTGCTCAGGTCATACACTTTCTAACTTTATTTTTTTTCTGTAAATTTGCATCAAACGTTTGTGCTTTACATCAGACCATAAAAACACACACAGCAAACAAATTAATAACTGTAACTAAATTTTTTCATGTAAAAAAAAAAAAACAAAAACATGTTGGTACCTTTAGCCATGAATTCTTAGTCAATCAAATTCCCTTTAAAAACAGGAAAAACTTTGGAAATCTAACAAATGAAAATATTTCTCTATATTGCTTTATATGTTTGTCCACATCTAAAATTGCTGTGAATTAAAACCGAAAGGAACCCTGTGTTTGTGTCATCTTTCTTACTGTAAAAATGTTAATTTGTCATCTTATTTCAACTGTATAATCTCTAACATTGAACAGAGCTACATACAATTTTACTCAGTATTGTAGTGAATTTAAAGCGCTATTTACAGCCTGACAGCTGTTGCATAGCAAACTCATTTTTGAGTTTTCTCTTGAAGTTAAAAACTTTCCATAAAAACAATTAGATGTGATATAGCACTAAATAAGTCGCTGGTTAATACATAAATTAACATAAATTGTGTTGGCGTAATTATTTTTTACAAACTGTACCCATAATCCTCTTTAAGTCACAAGGAAATGTTCAGTTTTTCTTTCCTTCTGAAATAGAGATGACCGAACAGAGACATGTTGGCGACAAACATTAACAAGTTACTGATTGTGCTTAAAGCAAAAAGATCTACTGCTAACAAACGTAACAATAAACACTGATATAACTTTGTGGATTTTAGCGCTTGTTAATTCAGAAAAAGAGCTTAATAAGCAGCTAAACTAACAACCCAAGCTAGCGCTGAACTAGCTAACCGGTTGCAGAACCAGTTAGCTGTTAGCTAACGTTTGTTTTCAACTTTGGTCGGATAAGATTAACACTTCAAAACAAAACTTTACTCACATAAACTAGTGCTAATGCTCAAAGGGCTCATCAGCTTTCATTCATATAAATCTACTGACACAAACTGTCACCTACCTGCTGGATGAAAGGGTGTTGAAGAGAAACAAATCCAACTGGTTGCTAACGCTACAGACTAGCCACAGAAAAAAATGACAACAATCTTCTAGCAGCGGCAAGACTCGATTAGCTGAACACAGAATAATCGAACACGGCTAAATAAACTCAATCGACTTATTGTCTGTCTTTGTCGGGTTTACGCTGTTGCAAAAATAATAATAATAATAATAAAAAAAATTGCTGCCCTACACATTTCTTCTGCTTAAGTATGTCAGACCATCCAACAAAATTAAACATATATTTTATAGACCAAAATGTAAGTAATCACTGAATCTAAATCTGATTATCTCACTCTCCCAAGTAAATGGCATTGAATTTACAAAACCATATGATTGGCATTGAGTCTTTGACATTACTGTGGTGGAATTTTGAAGTTTACAGAATTGCTTAAATTAAAGAGTTGTGCGGCTTTCCAGAACTGATTTTGTGTGTAGATTTTTGGACCACACAGAGAGAATTTGCTGGTGTGTTTTGGATTATTGTCCTACTGCATACCACAGGCGTTTAAGGTCACCAGCTAATGGCCGGATGTAGTCCTTTATGATTTTCTACAAGCAAAGCAATCCAAGACAATCACAAATGCCGCAATGCTGTTCGGTTATGTTGTGCCAAGTAGAAAAGTTCCAAATTTGTCTTGTCACTGTATAATATTTCCTAAAACGTCATAGGGGTAAGTCCAATCTATATTCTCGACTTAAGAACACACTCCAGTCTAATTGGCTGTATGCACATGGCCAGCCTTCTGCTCATGGGAAATCAATGCTGTGTTTTTCAGCTCCAAAATCATAATAAAAGCAAGTTAACTTGGAATGTCATAAAGCTTACTGTAAAGGCCAAATTAGTAAAGTTATCTTTGTTTAGTATAACTATCGTTGAGGTAGGAATAGAATATAATATCCCCATTGTGAGATAATATTTCTGTGAAACAGCAGCAAAGTGACAGTGAATAACAGCAAACGATTATGCTTTTATTTTGATCATTTTATTGTGAACGTAGCTATGGTTACAGAACGCAGTTCTACGTGAAAAGGTCAACAGCAACACAGGAAAAAGATTTAAAAAACACCACATTTTCACTTCATTTGATAAGGGGACACGGTTAGTATCTGGGATTGGAGTATATTTGCATAACTTTAAATGTTTATGGAAAAATCTGTCATTAGTTGTGTTAATAGAAAGAACTGTACTTATGTAAAAGGTTTTGCATAACATTGGATGATGAGAATAATTGCAATTATTACCCTGGATTCTATGTCTTTCTTTTGATATTTACATCTTCTGTGCTTCATAAAATATTCAGCTTTGCAATCATCTTTTAATTTCAACATATAAGCTGCTCTGCACTAGATGAGCTAAAATCATTTTTCCTTCTGTTTATATTCTTCAACATATGATAAGTAGAACGTTTTGCTTTGAAAGAGAATTGCAGACTGTTTCTGTTTTTTAAAGGTTTCTGCTTATTCCACTTTTTTTCTTTCACTCCGCATTGAGAATATTACGGTATGTCCGTATGATACTGGTGGTTTTATTAAAACATCGTTTAATCATCTGTTCTTGCCTTCTCATCAGACACTCATGCAGGTTGTAGTCAGGGAGAACATTACAGTAACTCTATCCTTCCACTGTGTGTTCCTGCCAGCTCTGTTTACTGACTCGCAGCCGTCTGGGGACTACAAAACCCCCTGCAACTGAAAACCTGCTTTGTCACTGTCTTCTTGTGTCAGTTCACTAACAGCTACTGAGCAAAAACAAGGAGTCGAGCTTCAAGATAAATCCTGCAGGAAGGATTCAACAATGCTGTGACTGATCATCTCTGGTGAGTTTGTTTCGTTTATGCCAAATTGTTGTGTGAAAAGAGGAATTCATTATGCAGCCTTTTCCTTTTGCTACTCTATGTCTCAAGATTTTAAAGATGCTTCTCGGTGTAGATTCATGAACAAATACTTTGTGCTAAGCCTGATAGGGATGTGGTCACGTTACCATTTTCAACGTTATTTCATTAGTGTGGCGTCTGTCTTCCTTCAGGAGTGCGGCATGTTATTAACTGGATAACCTCCTGTTGTTGCTCCAATGGGAGGGAGGAGACAGTTTCAAGCTGCCGGTGTCAAGGTGCCCTTCATCCAGCGAGCCGTCTCGATTTATAAGAGCAATTTGTATGTCTATGAGTGAGCTAAATACGTTTCTCTCTCTGTGCAGGGCAGAACGTGTGGACGGTCAACCGTGATGCAAAACCCTCCCATCAGTCTCTTCCATAATGTGTCCCACTGTATCTACTGTTGCTAGGGCATTCATGTTTACATCTGTTTCACCTAAACTCTGGGTTGTGCTGTACTTGTACTAATGATGACTTGTCTGAAAACTCCTGCTTAAGGAAGCTGGACAATGTCTGACAGCTCACAAGTACACAGCACTCAGTCCACAGTAACATCCTGCCATATGTGGTAAAAAAAAAAGAAAATTACTTTGTAAGCCCAGTATTCTGGCCTACAAACTGATTAAAGAATGATGCGGATCGTTTTGTTGTCTCGTTTGAGTCTTTTTAAGTTTCTCAGAGCGTCAAGTTTCTGCTAATCTTTTCCGATGTGTTTGTCGCCATCGTGTGGATCTAATGAGTAATTGCAGGTGGTATTCGGAAAAGTGGAGGAAGAATAATACAGCAATGTATTGGAACCAGAGAATCAAACCTATGAAGTGAAGTCTGCTCTCAAAAAGCAGAAGAATCCATAAAAATAATGATTTTAGGGCTGCAAGTAGAACAGAAAGGGATTTAATTTTTTTTAGACCACATGTATCCTCTCTATTATTTTTTAAGTTGTCACAACCTTTCAACCTCCAAGTTACCGAGGATATAAGGGCTGAAAGTGGAGTTGGTGAATACCAGGCTTATTGAATTTTTTTTAGAAGTTGTAACAGAATATTTTAGATATTATTTTTCCTCATCAGAAAGTAGAACTTTCCACATATGTAGTGGAGAGTTTGATATAAACTGTGCTACTTATCAAAACTATAAACCCCCTTTTTTCCCCACTGTGGTTTACTGGGTGATAAGGCGGAAGAATTTCAGATTTTCAGAAAAAAAGAAAAAAATGATTTTACATATCAGTGGGTTCTAAAAACGTCTATAAAATCACAAACATCTTAATTTGGCTAAAAGAAAACAGTGATTCACAGCTATCAGCCCTTTGGTTATACTGGTTTATATGCAAAGAATTTAACTTAATTTATCCAATATTATGGCTTTTATTTTAACCACTCACTGGCCCCCGAGAGACACTATCGTCACATTTATTTATTTAACTAAATTAAATTACGTTTATTTATTATCTAAAATCAAAATAGAGACAGGTGACCAAACATAAGAACTTATAATGTAACTAATTTCCATTTCTTTCAAAAAAAAATACAAAACAAAAAAAACAACAACTTTGAAACAAAAACTTTTACATATACCTTAGAATAAATAATTATTAGCTTAATGTAATAGTTTATTTTAATACAATAAACCAATAAATGATTATTGGTTTAATGTAATGCAAATATATATATATATATTACATAATTTTATTTTTGTTGTTGGTCTTATCTCAGTTTATGTAGATTTGAAAAGTGTCTTATGAGGTTATACTTAGATCAAATTTATTTCAAATAAATGTATATGTTATGTAAATTAAGCATATTCTGTATGTTGCATGTTAGAAAGTTTCATTTAATTTCAATCAGCGACACTAATTCGTTTTCATGTAATCAGATTACATTTGGTTTTCTTGGATGTCAGTTATTTCCAAAACGTATCTCAATTGTCACAACTGAGTTTCCACTGTTTTCTGAACAGTCGACCATTTAAATCACATATCATTTATTTAGAATAGAAGAATGCACAGATGTATTTACATTCACATGATACAATTTTACAATTACACAAATCTCCATTCTGTACAGGTTTAAAGTGACCATTTATATTTTACAGTGAAAAAAAAAAAAAAAAAACCCTTGACCATCGTGAAATTTGCTCAGTAAATCTGACTTGATGCTTTCCCCCCCCCCCTCAGCCGCTGAACGTCAAAAGAACATCTGTCCGGAAGTTCAATACATCATCTGTTCGTTTTGTCTGACTTTATAAGGAGAAAACAAAACAAACGAATCAACAGGAGGGGGTGGTGGTGGGGGGGGGGGGGGGGGGTTATTAATTTGCCATAATTTGCTCGGATAAAAATCTTAATGTCTACATTCTGACCACATGATGGCCAAATGTGAAGACACGACAAGAAAGGAAAAAAGAAAACTTCCATAGAAGATTCACAATTACATCAGCGCTTCTTTACATTTCCACCACAGCTCTAAGTCTAAAGTGCGTCGTTGTTCTATGCCACGGCCGGACCCGGTGTCCGCTATCATAACACCATGGTGGGAATGTGGTGGACCAGAGGCATCTGATGCTGCATGGCGGCCATCTGCTGTGCAGGTGGAGGAGGAGGAGGAGGGGGAGGGGGAGGGGGGGAAACCTGCGGGGGCGCGTCGGAGGCGTGCGCCGCAGGTTTGTGCCGTGCGCTCTTCTGGTGCGCCCTCAGGCCCGCCAGCTGGGAGTAGGCGCTCTGACAGACGTGGCACTTGTACGGCCGCTCGCCGGTGTGCAGGCGGACGTGGTTCCGCAGCGTGGACGACTGGCTGAAGCGGCGGTTGCAGAAGCGGCACACGAAGGGCTTGTCCAGGGTGTGGATGCGCATGTGGGAGCGCAGGTTGCTGCGGGAGTTGAAGCCGCGGTGGCAGAT